AAATCAATCTTTGAAAAATAAGTAGCCCCAACCAACTGATCAAACAAATCATCAATTATTGGGAGAGGATACTTATTCTTGATTGTCAATTTATTCAACTCCCGATAATCAATGCACATCCTCATTGATCCATCCTTCTTTTTAACAAAAAGTACCGGTGCACCCCACGGGGAAGTACTTGGTCGTATAAAACATTTATCCAACAATTCTTTTAATTGAGACATTAACTCCTTTAACTCAGAAGGAGCTAATCGATATGGTGCACGCGCAACAAGTGTTGCTCCAGGAATTAATTCAATCTGAAATTCTATCATTCGGTCTGGAGGTAGATTTATCAAATCTTCTGGAAATACTTCAGGAAATTCCCTTACAATTGGGATATCCTCCATCTTCCCTTTCTTTTTCTTCATATCTATAGCATATGCAAGAAAACTAAATACATCCCTTCTGTACACACTTCCTAGCCTTTAAAACTGAAATTAGACTAGAGTAACGATCCCGCCGATCTTCATAAATCACAACTCTTCCTTTTTTGGGTAAGTCTATATGAATCATCTTTTCATTACAGACTATGTTAGCTTGGTTTTCAGCTAACCAATCCATGCCTATAATTATATCAAATTCCCTTAAAGGCAAAAGAAATAATTGTATAGGCACTTCACACCCTTCTATACTTATGAAGCATTCATCTATCTTTTCCTTAATTGAAACTTCACTATCGTTTGCTGTTTCCACAATTAGATCCTCACTCAACGCTTTAGATTCTAATTGTGCGTAGTTAACAAACGATGGTGACACAAAAGAACGATTTGCACCTGAATCAAATAAAACTTTGGCACATACTGAATTAACGAAGAATGTACCTGTTACCACTTCAGGGTGCTCTTCCGCCTCGCCTCTCGTCATCTGAAAGGCTCTCCCTTTTGCATTAAACTCTGCCTGTCTTATCCCTCTCCGTCCACTTGGACTTACACGATTATCCATTTGCCCACGACCTGTTGGCACATACCCCGATCCTTGACCCCCAGAATATCCAGATCCCCGACCTCCAGCAAAACCAAACCCTCGACTCTTTATTTGCGGACAATCAGCATTTACATGTTGAGATGAATTACAAGTAAAACACCTCCGCGTCATCCGACAGTCTCGGGTCCTGGTTCCTGACATTTAAAGCATACTTGAGATTCTGTATTGCAATTTCCCTGATGTATCTTATGACATCGGRTACACGMCCTATCAGCAAACCTTGAGACTGGTCGATTCAAATTTTCCATAAACCTCGGTCTACGAAAATCAGTTACTGTAACTTCCCTCTTTCTTTTCTCCCCAATCTTTTCTTGTGGTTGTCGATTGATGTCTTGTTCTAGAATTTTAGTTGCATCAACTGCCACTCGAAATGTTGTCGGATTCCTTGATATTACATATTTCTGAAGATTCGACTCCAATCCCCAGATATACTTTCTCACCCGGCTGTTTTCAGATACTATATAAGCTTCAGCAAGCCTAGATTGTTCCATGAAAACTTCTGTATACTGGCGTACTGACATGTTTCCTTGTTCAAGACGAAGGAAATCATCTTCTAACTTTCTTACTGCAGCCTCAGGACAATACTGCATTTTAAACTTAACCACAAATTCTTCCGAAATCATGGTTTTCAAAATGTTCGGATCCGAACTGGACAGGACTTCCCACCAGTATAAAGCACTTGATCTCAAACGTGACACAACAAACATAACTTTATCCTCTTCTGCACTTTTACTGATTTGCAGGCTCAGCTCTATCTCCTTAAGCCAACACATAGCTTTAACAGGATCACGCTCACTAGAAAACTTAGGAGGTTTACAAGAAAGAAACATTTTGATATCTCCTCCCTTTTGTACTGAGGATGAAGTAAGGGGTACAGATGTACCAGTCACCGGTGTACTAGCTCCGGCTTCCTCCTGATAATCGGAATTTCTTACCACTTCTGGATTATTTTGGGTTGTACGTCCCAACAAATTTACCAGACTTTCTTGGAACTTTCCCAACTCTGCTGCCAATATTTCTTTGGTAATAAATCCAGAATCAGGAACATTGTGTCCACCCTTTGTTCTTCCTCTTCCATGATCAGACATTGAACTTTCTTGAGCHGACAGTTCATGTTCTTGTCTAATACCTCTACCTCTTCCTCGACCCCTACTACGACTTCGCGTTTCTATCGTCATCACATTTTCCGGTTCCTCTCCTTGTATTACACCTCTTCTTCCCCGACCTCTTCCATAACTAGTAGAAGCCCTTTCCGATTGATTGGGATTATCTGCCATGTCTCAGTATATGACTTTTTCTGTCACATTTAAACACACATGATTATTCTCATAATCACAATATAATAACACATTTATCCTCATGTTTATTCATAATTCAGATTATATCAATCATATATAATCTATCTTTCTCATAATAGGTTCAGCTATAACATATTCCCATGTTCATAGACCCAGTGAAACCTATTATCATAACTTTCCACACCTCTAGTTTAAGTCTAAGTTTTTCGCAAATACCCAGATCCCTTAAACTAAGGCTCTGATACCAACTGTAACATCCCACATATTCTATGTACAGATAATCCACATAATCATACTCATAACACAAAATATAACATCGTTTACAAAATACAGATTAACAAAATACTTTCTTCATATACATTTTTGAATAACTAAATGTCATTCATTCTAAACTTTTCCCTTGCCTTTATCTTGCGAGGTATGATGACCTACAAAACAGGTTAGTCCAGCAACTGAGCGTTAGACCAAAAAGGTGTAGTGAGTGTATAATTCTCAACAAACAACATACATTCCAAACAATCAGTTTAGAATCAAACCTGTTCTGATACATAAACTTATTTATATATCTCTCGCGGTTACACCGCCATTATATCTCTCTCTCGCGGTTACACCGCCATTATATCTCTCGCTCGCGGTTACACCGCCATTACATCTTTCTCTCACGGTTACACCGCCATTACATCTCTCTCTCACGGTTACACCGTCATTACATCTCTCTCTCTCTCGCGGTTACACCGCCATTACATCTCTCTCTCGCGTACACCGCCATTTCATCTCAAAAATGCTTTAACACATTAGCCGGATTCGCAATTCGGTCATCCTTGTCCGGTTAACACTTAAAATTATTTCTAACATATTTGTCCGGATAACAAATCCGGACAATACACCACCAAAAGCTTAACCGATTTAACACTTAGAATTATTTCAATTTCTATCCGGATAAGAGTCCGGACAATACATTGCCCAACCTTTGACCGGTTTAAAACAATCCGGTCAATACACCGCCAAACTCTTGAACGGTTTAGATGAGATCCGGTCACCTCTTGACCAGTTTAGGAAGGACTCCGGAAAACACTTGAGCGGTTTAAAATAAACCGGTCACCTCTTGAGCGGTTTTCTATCCGGATGAGATTGTCCGGATATTAATCCGGACACCACTTGAATGGTTTAAACAAGAATCCATATAAAATGAAACAAAATTCATAATAACCAGTTCCAAATGCTACTAAATTGTATGTAAACAATTTATATTCAAAGCTTTAATACACTCACCTTTTAGAAATCGAGTATCAAAGCTTTTGAATCCTCTTCTTTTGCAATCTGTATGACTCTTAAAGATAACTTTCTAAAAATAYAGAGGGTGTAAAAACCTTTATCTCCTCAACTTTCCACATATATATATATATATATATATATATATATTGAGGAAAGGCGGTGGGAGGCACCACCAGCCGACCTCCCCCCCCCCCTTTTTAAATTAAATCTCAAGATATATATATATATATAAACATAACACACAAACATACCCATACACATATATATATATATATATATTAAAGAAATCTTAAATCAAAACTTGAAACCCGAATATTGCACAAAAAGTCTGAAAGGATCGCCCTCCCCAACCCAGACAATAGAGAAAATTCCCCTAATAATGCTCCCACTAGTATATCTGAAGGCTGAGGCAGGGGAAGAGGTCGGGATAGATTTCATGGAAGGAGTCGTGGAAGAGGAAGAATCAGTCAGTCTGAGATTCATCCAGACCAGGGTGAGTCCATTTTTAAAAATATTAATCGAGAACCGGTGCCAGAGCCAGAATATGTGACATGAGATGTATTAGCTAAATAGATGAGTAAGTTAAGAGACTCTGACATCAATTCTCGGTGTACCGATCAGAGTATGAAACTGAAAGAGTGGAGGTAAATCAACAAATTCAAGCTACAAACAGCAAAGAGGGTGATATAAAGATGTTCCTGACCTGTAAACCCCCAATGTTTTCTGCAGAAAGAGATCATGTCAAAGCAATGTACTGGTTGAAAGAGAATGAATCTATGTTTAACACCAACAAATGCTCAGAAGAAGATAAGGTTAGATTTGTCGTATCGATGTTAAAATCTAATGCTTTATATTGGTGGGATGTGGAATCTAAGCTAAACCAGATATTTTAAGAACTAAGCCTTGATCAGGATTTGTAGATAGATTTAAAGAATAATTTGTTCTAAAGGCGGCTATTAGACAAATGGAGGAAGACTTTTTGAAACTGGAACAGGGCAATCGGACAGTACGAGAATATACCGAAAGATTTACTGAACATTCCCGGTTTGCAGAACACTATATCGCTTTTGAAACTAGAAAGGTTGAGAGGTATATCTGGGGTTTAAAACCCTCAATTCGAGAGTTTGTAATTGGCATGAGTGCTGCCACTTTTCCATTAGTAGTAGATGCTGCTGAAATGATTGATAGAAACAAGAATAGGCAAGGAGAAGAAAAAGTGATTGAAAAGAGAAAGTGGGAAGGGTCTTGGACTGGTTTTCCGAGGGCCAAAGTCTGCAACAATAGAGAACCGTCCTATTCAACCTTTGTTGAAAGAGCATGTCCCAGATGTCGCCGAGTTCAGCAGGGTGACTTTAATATGGATCAAACAAAGTGTTACCAGTGTGGCGAGTCAGGTCATCTATCTAGAAATTGTCCAACTCTTCGAAGATGTTTCCAATGTAATTCACCTGGTCATATTAAACCGAATTGTCCTCAGTTGAGAGCTCCACGATTAACCATGGGAGGAAATGCTCCGAGTACTCGTGGAAGACTGGAGGAAATGCTCCCAGTACTCGTGGAAGACCGAATATGCAAAAAGGAAGACCGCTAGGGGCTTAGGGACGATCTTTTCAGATGACTAAAAGCGAGGCTGAGGCAACTCCAGATGTGGTAACATGTACTTTTCTTTGTTAACTCTGTATATGCCAAAGTGCTGTTTGATTATGGTGCGAATTACTATTTTGTATAGCCATTATTTACGGGGTGTGCATACATGAATTATGTGCCACTTGACAATATATTAGTAGTTGACACTGCTAATAGTCAAGTATCTGTTAGCTATATTTTTTATGATTGCCAAATTGAAATTGAGGGTGTGGGCTGCCAATCCGATTATTTTTGATGCCTATGAAATAGTTTGTTTTTGTGGTGGGATTGAATAGGTTCACCGAAAACCAGGCCAGTATTATGTGTAATAAAAAAATGATCAGTATTAATTTGTCGGAGAAAGGGCTGATGGTCATTTATGGTGATCGGAAGGATCATCATACCAGTTTATTGTCTATTCTAAAATCCACAAAATGTATTCAGAAAGGGTGTTGTGGGTATTTGGCATATGTAGTCTATGATTATCCAGAAGTATTTTTAGAGGATTTGACTGGTTTACCACCGGATTGGTCTATTGAATTCATAATTGATTTGATAGTAGGGGCAACACCAATAGCCAGGGCCCCATATCAGTTGGCATCATCGGAACTAAAGGAGTTAGTAACACAGTTGAAACCTGCTTGATAAAGGGTTCACCAGACCGAGTACTTCACTTTGTGGTGCTTCGGTTCTGTTTGTTAAAAAGGATGGATCTATGAGGACGTTGTAGGATCGATTAACTCGGTTTCTTGGTATTAAWTACTTACTTGGATGATCTGTTTGACAGTGATGATGCAGCGGAAAAGATAAGAATCAACCAAAGTAGAAATCAATAAGAACACAGTGATGAAGATTGATGAACACAAGAGAGAGCKTCAAATGATTTTCAATAGAATGAAAATGTTAACAATTACAATACTGAAGCACACTGAAATACAAGGGTTTACGATGYTATTTATACAAGCAAGTAACCGTTTTCTGACACGACCTAAAGTAAATTAATCTAAGTCATTCGATCAAAACAGATTACAGACAAGAACACGTGATAAGCACGACCTAAGTAAAACAGCTAAAGA